CAGGCGTGGCACAAACTCACATCTACCGTCGTTTTGCGTGGCAGGCGTGGCACTTATGGTACTGGGTGGCGCCCTTGGGCCCGGTTTAGGCGGGCGTGACGCCCGTGGCGCCGCTTCACTTCCGCGTGGCAGGCGTGGCACAATCTTACATCCATGGTCGTTTTGCGTGGCAGGCGTGGCAGACATGACAGATTCTGTTTCTTGTATGCAGACTTTCATCAGTCATGTCGTTCTTGTCGTTCTGTTTTGGTCGCTTTGGCCCAACTAGAAGTTGCAGACAACAGCTCTGGCACGTATACCACTACAACACAACTACAACTAGTCAGTCAAGCAAGGTAAAGATGCGGTCATATAGGATCATCTCTGGTCAGTTTGCATACGACTCAACCACAACTACAACGAGTCAGTCAAGTGACATTGGTCATTTGCATGCAAAGATGCGGTCCTTCCGGCATGTTTCTTCTTTCCACGTGCTTCGGCATGTTTGATTTTGGCATGTTTAAGCACTTTCTTCTGTCGGCCTGCTACGTGCTTCGGCATGTTTGATTTTGGCATGTTTAAGTACTTTCTTCTGTCGGCCTGCTGCATTCCACACACACACACTTGCGGCCTGGTGCTGGTCTTGCTCGTGGTCGAGAGGCAGGGCTCAACTGCGCTTCAGCAACGCTGTGCAGCGCAGACATGACAGATTCGGTTTCTTGCATGCAGACTTTCATCATGTCGTTCTTGCAACTAGATTCACCAGTTGGAATCGTCCACAAACTCTCCTAGATTTGTTCCGTGACAGCTGGAGCTGACATGCTTTGACATTGGTTTGGCGCAATGGTTTGGCGGATGAACATTGCAAGAATTGACATTGCAAGAATGTGACCAGGTGTCTATGCTCTAACGGGATTAACATTGGCCTGCTCGCAACGAGAAAAAGTCGGCGCGTATGCCGCATGCCAGTGTCTACATTGACCTCCTTTCATGTCTTGTACCGTTTTGTGTTAGAGCAATGACCATTTCGTTGGGGTCTTGTAGCATACATACACACATACATACATACATACATACATACATACATACATACATACATTACATACATTACATACATACATACTCACATTCCTTTAAAAAATGACATGTTCTATGCCTCAAACGTCAGAAGAAACACCACCAACTTGCAAAACCAATGGTCAAGTCACTATCCAGTGGAAGCTTTAATTGCAAAAACGTAGAAGCAACCAGACATAAACAAAACCCAACACTGAACAAACTCTAAAATCTCAAACCTTCCAAAACAAGCAAAACAAATCTGCAAACATGGAGACACTTCAGATTGAGTAGGCTTTCGTTGCGCGCCAGGGCTGGCCCTCTGCTTGCGAGCCAAGCCCATGGAGCAGAGAAATACAAACAGCAATAGAGATGTCCTGTTTTCTTCCACAGAAGATAGCCAGCAAAAAGCACACATCACTTTCACACACACCATCTTTCACGCGCAACTTTGTCACACACATACACATACATACATTCATACATACATACGTACGTACGTCCATACATACATACATACATACGTACGTACGTACGTACATACATACATATACATTCATACGTACGTGCATACTATCTTTTCACATACTTTCACACACACAGTCTTTCACCACCTCCTTTGTCTTTCCTTCCTTCCCCGTCCCCGCTAGAACTTTTGAAGCTCATTATTGGAAGAAGTTGACTTGTGGGGTTATCCGGTCCTTTAATTTTATTTATTAATCATTAATTATTACTATATATTATATAACTATATCACCTTCTTTACCATGGCGAAACAACGATGATCTTTGTCAAAGGTTTCAGACCTTGCCTCAATCACTTCGGAGGAGGACAACAGAAATTATCTCAGGCACCATGCTGTTCCCCCCTATAGCTAAATTTCGGCTAATTGGCAGCCTCGGATCAGGATCCGATCGCACTCCGACCAGGCGGTCGGCCAAAACAATTCCGAGCATTGGCTGAAAACCCAGCTGCGACAGGGAGACAGCACTAAGATCGACATGGGCTGGACCCTGCTAACTGCCTGGTAACCAGGGTTTCTCAATGATTCAATGGTTGAGGCATGCGGAGGTGGTTTCAATTCATCCCTGAAACGAGAAGGATCATCATAGTAGCTAGCACTATAGATGGCTAAACCTCCCGGCATGGATTGGCGATTACCGCAAATAAGAAGGTTTGCTACTCCCTTGCTACAGCCTGGGAAGACCAATTGCTACGGTCTAACCGCATCTGGTGGCAGTTGTGCCAGAGAGGAAGAATCAATCACAATCACAGACTGAACCTGGATTTCAACTCAATGCAAAACATCAGGAAACCATGGGTTTACCTGCAAAATCATCAAAATCATGGGGCAGCCTGTAGCCTGCATTTTTTTCCTTCCACCATTTCCCATATCAACAGGACAAGACTTCTCAACTGGCGGCCACCTCATAGGACTTCTGCCGCTATGCCGCAGAATTCATTAAGCCAAGATTTTTCGAACAAAACTAATTTTGGGGGGCAGCAGCTTCACCAGGTGTATCAATACTGATACGTAATATACATACATATTTATATATATATATATGTATATACACACATATATATATATATAAATAAATAGATATAGACATCTATATATATATATATACATATATATTCAGCATCCAAACACATCCAAAACAGCTTCCAAATGGTAAGGTGAATACATATCCAAACATCCGTGCGGGGGGTTAACAGGACGTTATTTTCAACATTGAAAGTCACAATCCCTTGCGCCTGTCAGCGAAAGTTGCGTTTTTTAGGCTCAAAAAATTATCTAAAATCAGCATGTATCTTTTTTAGAATCGTGTTTTACCACAGTTTTGGAACCCTTTGTCGGTCAACTTCACTTTTTACCCTCACATCTTCGCTTGCTTTTTCAGCTGCTTGGCAGCCGGTCGCAGCACGCAGTCCCTGCTGTGCTTTGTTGATCTTTGTTGATCTTGCCTTTCTTTCTGGTATGAATGCCTGGCGGAAGCTTATCTTTGATTTTCTTCCACGTGCCATCGATACCAACTGTGCACACTCAAAGCTGGCTTTGGTCCTCGTCGGTTCAAGCAAACAAATTCTCCAGCAGCGTGATTCGCTTCCTCGTGTTTCAACTGGTATGTCTTTGACAAGGAGGGCATGCCCTTGCACCATCAGTCACCAAGTAAGATCCCTTTTTGATCTTCTCCATGTTAGCAAGTGCAAGAGAAGATCTTGTTAACGTAGCATAAAGATAGTTAGCAAGTGCAAGAGAAGATCTTGCTAACGTAGCATGTAGATAGTTAGCAAGTGCAAGAGAAGATCTTGTTAACATAGCATGAAGATAGTTAGCAATTGCAAGAGAAGATCTTGGTAACGTAGCATGAAGATAGTGTGCAAGTGCACGAGAAGATCTTGGTAACGTAGCATGAAGATAGAATGCATTTGAACATGAACTTAATCGCCCACCCCACCCCCCAACCCCCCACCCCAACCCAATCCCACCCCAGCAAAAACAATGAAAAATCTTGTCCGGTTTCCCCCCTGCTAACATAAAACCGACATATCTAAAGATGGATTGGGTGAACTTTGGGCTCTGCCCCCTTAAATCCGCAGATCCCATTGCGAAAGCATCAGGCTGTATACGGCCCCCTGGCATTTCGGCAAGTGAAAACCAGCTCTGCAGCTCACAATGAGAATTCGGATGCCATGACCATAGTTCATTGCAGAACGAGGGATCCCCGACGATTTTTTTACAGTAAATGACAATAACATGATGGTAGATTTTTGGGCGTCCCAAACACCTTTTTTCAAGACACGAAATGGCGTCGGCTCTCGTCATTTTATTGAACAAGTACCGTACCCCCTGGCAATTTAACAGTTTGCGAACTGGAACATGGCCCAGTTCCAGATTTTCCGAATGAAAATGGTGATCTTCCATGGCAAACTGTTAAATTCCCACGGGGTATTTGCAATATTCATGGCTCACCATGGTCCGGTGTGGAGCTCTGAAACCTGAAACACCGAAACACCAGGGTGGAATCGGTGCAGCCAAGCTCATCCCCTCGACAATCTCAAGGAGATCTGGGACCCTCATAAGATTCGAATTTCTGTACAATGCACCCTGCAGTGACGCCGGCCCAAAGGCATCAGGACAGCAAGGAGGCCCTGAATCAGAAGGTTTGTGTTTTGCAGCTGCAATTTGACTCTCATACTCTCACTATCTCTCACTACAAGGTATCTGCTTGTCAAATTCTATGTCAACACAAAACAGCAATTCAGTGATTCTCAAACTTTATCCCAATGATCTACCAAATGCTTCGCGTCATGTTACCTTTAGCGGCAGCGTATAGTTTGCCGGTTTGGGGAGTTCCAACTTTCGGCAGTTTCAAGCTCCATGCCTAGAAAGCTTGTTCGCATGGAGTGATTTTTCACAGAAACTAGGAACACAAATGATGGAAACCTGCTGGTGGTTTTCTCATATTTCACGTATTACTTGATGCTTGGACAACCTTGCGTCCCTTGGCGGCAAATTCCCATCTTTTTTTCACCCGCCCAGAAATCAAACCCATGTCGCCAACCAATGTTCACAGTGATCTCTTATAATGATTAATGTGATGAATGTGATTAATGTGATTACTGTAATCTTTCCAGAGTTCACAGTGATTAATGCGACCAAAACCAGTTGTGACACAGTGATCTCTTCAGGGATGGTGGAAAGGACTGGGTAGGCGCAGCAAAAGGGATCATCCAACCCCACAACATCCCACAACGCTGGAACATCTGGAACTGGGCAAAGCACTGAAATTCCATGAGGAACTATCGGAAAAATGTGGTCATGCTTGATGCATAGCTCAGGTTGATCTGAAGGATCCCTGAAACATTCGAAGCATGACTGACACGGACAAATCTGAAAAGCACAAGACTCGGGCTGGGCGGGTGCAAAACCGTAACTTCTAACTTGGCATATCTTGGCATCACAAAAAGCTCACGATTTTTTCGAAGAGCTCCGGCAAGATGTTGGTGGCATGCCTGGAGCTATGCAATCCAAACGCGCTGGGCTGGGTGCGTGATGGGACTGCCGAGCTCATCGCCTCTATCGCTTTTCTGTATGTTTTGAAATATACATGTAGATACAAAGATATAAGATACCGATAAGATAGGTATCTTACCCTATATTATATATAGAGGTATCTGCAAGATACCATATATAATATTATACTGTAATAGCTTATAATTTATCATAGCTATCTTATATAATTGTCCTTCAACTACATGGGAAGTTCACACCTCCACGAGCGCCATGCCAAGAGAGCTTCCCCTCTGCACCAGCGACTCTCAGCCTGCGCTTGTGCTCGTGGAGAACTGCCAGGGCCGAAATAGTCTGGTTTCCGGTGTCCTCAAACGTGGCTAGCTGGAAAATCCCCTATAAATTTAAATGGACGATTTAATGGAAAAATCGTCTATAAATATCTATAAATGCTGGATTTTCCAGCAAGCCACGTCTGATTACCGGAGGGTAAGCAGTTCAACAAGCATCAACAGCCAGAAAAATATTGGGGAACTCCATGTTTGGGACTTTGCAGCATCTTCAATGGCTTCTGCTTGGCATTGATCAGAGTGGGGAAAGTGGTCTATCATTCCGGCACAGAAAATGTGCTCACAATGAAAAATCGTTTCTGGATTCGCTGAATGCTGCATCGTCGTTCTGGCATGGAAGCGGAAGGGAAAGGCTTCGTGGGCCACCAGCAATCCCATGGTCCCCTTCTGTGCTAAGACTTCTAAGACACTGGAACCACACAGGTGACAATCCAAGACCTATGTCTCAATGATTTTCGCGCACACAGAGTGTGTATATCTATGTAGATATTGATAACGAATGTATGTTAATTTATAATGTAATGTCTGTAATGTTATAGTAATCCCATATAACCCCGAAAAAGATAAAAACAAAGTTATCATTTGAAGCCGTCGGCCTCGGTCAGCTTCCCCACGAGCACTGGATCAAGCGCATAGCCTCGTGGATGGTTCAGCCATGTTGGATGAAAACAAAACATGCACAGGTGTGCCCCGAAAATCCCAGCAAAAGTCATCCATTCAATATTGATATTAAGTATTATTAAGTGAGGTAGTTATTCTCTGGGAAAATCTCCACTTCATATATCTTTATATGCTTATATTGGTTTTAATCCATATAGTACCCTTGGGTCATCAAACATGGTTAGCTGGGAAATCAACAAACTAAATGGAGGTACCCCAGAGCATAAACAGTTCAAACATCAACATCAGCCAGGCATATTGAGAACCATCTCTATGTTAATAAAGGGGGTATTTATCTGGGGGTTATGACTACGATATATATATATATATATCTGCTGTGATGCATTTCGCTATACCTGTGGTATCTCCTTTTTTTAAATAGTTGTACCTGTAAAAGAAAAACTAAAGCCATCCATAGTCATCCATATAGTTGTACCTTTATCGATCCTGGATTCCCGTTATGGCTATACCGGCTATCACCCACCGCTCATCCCGTGCCGAGCCAAACTGGGCATTCCCGGCGTTTCGGGGGCCGACCGAGAGAATCCAAGGCCAGCGGCTTCGCACCATGACCTAAGAACGGACTTTCGACCTTGGCACCTCTCTGATTTGATGATTTTTTTTGGAATATTTATAAAACTGGGTTTCATGATTCATTGAATCTAAGCCAAATTTCTTGGAGATTCAACGGAAGAATCGAATTTTCGGTGGGATAAAAGGCTATTGATAGTTCTGCCCACTGGGTGCCCTCTGCGAAGCAGCAAAGACACGACCTGGCGCCATCGGCTCAATCGTGACCATGCTACCATGCTATTCACCTGACATCTTCAACCAGTGGCTGTATGGCCTCTGATGACTTGTAGAATAGCTGCTCCCTGCAATGATTTTCTAATGATAGCTGTTCGAGATTTTTTGGTACAAGTAGCATAGTTGTACGAGGATTTTACATTGCTTGGTGTTCAACACACCTAAACTGTATCAATCAATTGGGGTGAATGATCCGAGATAAGACATATTGACAATAACACATATGATGATACAAATATGATACATATGTTCAAACCATCAATCTGATAACGCTGTGATGGTCCAATCTAATGGTAATCTGGGCGACCTGCGTTCAGGTCAAGGCCATGTTCGGATGAATTCCTCTATGAGGTGCGGTGGCTATGGTGGCTTTAATTTGCACAGAGCCCCCAGGCTTGGATGCATAGTACATGTAAACCCCACCTGGTAACCTAAGGACATAATTAATGAGTTTCCCCGACCATAAACTGGATAGCCACAAGAATGAACAACTTGCAATGACCAGGGTTGTCAATGACCAGCAAATTGCTGAGTGATGCAGGAAAAAAAACAGAGTAAATCGCAATCTTCACCCCAAATGGTAACCGGTTCCCAACTGGTTCGTGGTTTAGGAGTTACCGCATGGGCTTGCCAATAAGGTATCCCTAAATCTCTTGGTTGTCATTTTCGCCAATAAATTGCAACTTCCGGGTATCCCCCATTGGTGGACAAAGCTACATTGCCATACCAACCCTACCCTCAGAGCCAACCTCACTCTGCGTGTCACTGCCCTGGAATGGCGTCTGCCTGATGTGCAGCATGGCTTCATGCCAGAAACTCTGGGTCAAGAGTGGCGTAATCAGCACGACTGGGGTCAGACTGGGTGCTGGTCAGACTTAGGTGATTGGATGGTTCTTTTGACAAAATATCTTCTTGCAAATGGTCCCAGATGGTCCCAGCCTGCAAGCCAGGTGCAGCGGGGAGTCTCCATGGCCATTGACTTCATCAGGACTGGCCCTGGTGGTTGAGCGACTTCCGTCGGCATCAATCAGGTTGGGGGTTGACTTTCGGACCCCAAAATTTATGGAGGCATTGGGGAGCATCATCCCATTTTTTGAGGGATGGTAAGAAGAAAACAATTTCAAACCACCAATCAAATGAAAATGACATGGACTTTGAAAATTGTTCAAGGGTTCAATTTGACTTCAGCCTGGATCCAGGGCAAACATCAAACGCCAAATTTTGTCGCTGACTTACGACTTGTGGCCGGATGCTCAAAACATATGTTTCTGCTCCAAGAAAATCTATGCACCTGCCGATTGCTAAGCCAAGTCCGACTTTGTTGCACTCAGAAACTAAGGATTGAATGATGCCTCAAGCATGGTTTGAAATGATGGCAACTATCTTTCTATTCCAGTCCTCGATTTTATGTCAGTTCAAATTCCTTCTGATGGTCATCCAAGACCCAAAGGGCGGGGACCATGAAAATTGGATGAAACTGCTTATCGGTTCGCCATCTCCACATGTGCCATGGTCACAACATGGTATATATATAATTATAGTAGGGTATAGTATGGTATGGTAATGTCACCATCATTGGGGATTCCTGACCCCTATTAATGGATGGATGACCATGCCCATTTTTGGGAAAAATAACCCATGGGTCGACGTTGACTCACATGAGTTCTGCATGTGGGCATTCTCCTTGCCGCTTCATTTAGTAGCTCCATGAACTAGGTGAGGAACCTCGAAACTAGTTCAATCACCGTCAATTTTCAATCAACTACCCATGATTCATGTAACTCCACTCCCTGCCTGGCATTGAGCAGCAGCGAGACTGCAGGCACTGAAC